TGTGTGTGTGTGTGTGTGTGTGTGTGTGTGTGTGTGTGTGTGTGTGTAAGTCAGATTTCCTCATGACACAATGTGCAGTGAAGCTGGTTTATAAACATAATCATCACATTGTCTCACTTAGACCATCTTCTTCCAGAGATGCCAGCTGAGAACCCCAGCTGCTTCTGCTCTTGTGAGCAAAGATGTTCTATTTAAATCACCTTACTGAGTTTAGGGAAAGGGAGAAGAAACAGATCCACCTCAGCTATAGTCTTGGGACACAGATATCCTGTCTCCACTCCAGCTTTTACTAGACATCAGGCTGCCAGATCAATAAGCCAGGAAGAAAATAAAATAGAATGGGAAATCAAAATAAACACCAGTCTTTTAGAAAGAACCGTGAATTTTAGGATGCAGTTTGTGCCATACCATAAAAGGTACTCGTGGCCTGTTTGTGTAGCTGTGTTTTAGTTCATTCTCAACTAACCTGGTCTTGTTTTCCACACGTTCTTATACACATAAATCTTACCCTGAAAATGTTCTGCAAACATTTCTCCAGCAGCAAACTGAGCTAGCTGCACATAAGTCATACGGTGTCATCACAATGCACAGAAGTTTATAGGTTGTGATCTGGGGTGAAACTGGGGTGTTGTTATCCTTAGGAGCTGGGTTTCACAGACGCGTACTGTGTAGACACACTGAGATGGTGAGCGAAGTATAAATGACAAAGAGCTCATTTTGGTGAGTCTGGGTGACTTGTGCATTGCCTTGGCTTATTGATTAATCTTCAACAGTAAATCTCATGTCCTGCAAACCCAAGTGCACCTGTCTCCCATGCTTTGGTCTTTTTGACAGCCTGCTTCTGGCACTGTTCAATGAAAGCTATAAAAAGAAAATGTTCCTTTTCCATTACAACAAGAGGAAAAATTTCAAGAATGAGACCACAAAAACACCATGCCATAAAAAAAAATAAATAAATAAAAACCATGCTATGTCCCAGGTCTTTTCTTTGTTCTAAGTCTGATGGCAGTCACCATCAGTCATTACATCAAGTCAAAGAACATGCAGTCTCTAAGCCAGACTTTCTTCAGACATCTAAATGTGATTGCCATCATAAAAATATTAAATAGCTAGGCATGGTGCACACAAGTATAACCTCAGCACTTGGGAAGTAGGGGCCAGGGGGTCAGAAGCTTGAGGTCATCCTAGGAAACATTGTGGATTCTAGGCAAACCTGGGCTATGTGAGACACTGTCTCAATCATACATACACCAAAAATATTGAAGTAAAAACTAAAGTAAGTAAGCATGATTTCTTAATGTCAGGGGGTTACTTATATTTATTATTCATTTGCACTTATGCCCTGTCATCTGTAGGAACTATTCTTTTCTGTTAGGCTGTTAATCTGAAGGTCAGGAATGAAGATATTTGTAACTGTAATTGTTTCATATTCTCTGGCACGGGACTATAATGGGAAATAGTTAACAATCCTTCAAAACTTACAGAAATGGTATTTGTTGAACCTGTTGCCTGGTAAAGCCTACTCTAATAATATCTTGAAGTTAAAGGAAGGGAATTAACTATGGAATATGGGTGGTCCTGATTCACTCAAGGTTCATACACTTCATTAGTAATGTTTCAAGTTTTGTTAATAAAGAGAAGCCAAGAGTGGTGGCCCATGTCTTTGATCCCAGAACTCAGAAGGCTGATGCAAGTAGATCTCTGTGAGTTCAAGGCCAACCTGGTCTACAGAGCAAATTCCAGGATAGCCTGGAACTGTCTGGAATATGTATTATGATTATATATAATCATATATATATATTTTTATATATATAATATGAATACATATTGCTATGGAAAATCCTAGCAGGTTTTGCTACCCTGTTCATCTCCTCCTTGCCCCCAGCTTTAAGCACGCAGACACCCCCACCTGCTGGTGCCACTTTCTAAGTATGCTAAGGTTTTCTTTTTACTTTTGCCATTATTTATTTACTTACCAGTTTATTGACAATTTCATGCATATATACAATGTATTATGATTAGATTCAAGCTCCATTACCCTCTCATCTCCTCCCTTTTCCTCTGAACCCCTTCTTCCCGACTAGTCCTACCTCCTACCTGCCCCTCAGTTTAATTAGGTTACTTATGAGCTTGGGTAGATGTTTGTTTTACTGGAAAATGAACAACTTAGCAGTGGCCGCACTACCAAAGAAAAAGACACTGCCTCGCTCTACTGCCATTAACTGCCAGTGATAACTACTCAAGAAGGTGTGAGCCTCATGGGTACCGCCCCCACCATGATGGACGGTCGAAGGGCCCAGTCCTATGAATGCCTCATGGGTACCGCCCCCACCATGATGGACGGTCGAAGGGCCCAGTCCTGTGAATGCCTCATGGGTACCGCCCCCACCATGATGGACGGTCGAAGGGCCCAGTCCTGTGAAGGCCTCATGGGTACCGCCCCCACCATGATGGACGGTCGAAGGGCCCAGTCCTGTGGAGACCTTATGCAGGACTCCATAGCTGCTCCATATTAATGGTTACCGCATCATATCTGGATGACAGTTTTATAGCACTCATAAATCTTAGTTCTTTATAGATTTTAGATTCAGGCGTACCAGGCCATCTGTTTCCAAATGGGCAAACTGTTTTTCTTTCGTTTTATTTTACATCAAGGCTCAAAGAAAATTCCTCGAAAGCCAATGGTCTTCTTCTGCCAAGGGGAGGCACTTTCCAGTGGAAATTAGTTCAAAATATACTAACTTGACTTTCCACCCTTCTTTCCCTTCCCCTTTCTCCTTCTTCCCCTCCTCCTATTCAGGTATAGAGCTGTGGCCTCATGGAGTCGTGTTCAAGGAATTGGGATCCCCTTGATTACCGCCATTGAAATTGTCTCCATCTGGATCCTCTCCTTTATCTTGGCCGTCCCAGAAGCGATCGGCTTCGTCATGGTACCCTTCGAATACAGGGGTGAGCAGCACAGAACCTGCATGCTCAACGCCACGACCAAGTTCATGGAGGTATTGACCACGTGCGCAATTCACTCTCCACATCAAAGTCAGCTTTTTTTTTTTTTTTTTTTTGGTTTTTCGAGACAGGGTTTCTCTGTGTAGCTTTGTGCCTTTCCTGGAACTCGCTTTGGAGCCGAGGCTGGCCTCGAACTCCCAGAGATCGGCCTGGCTCTGCCTCCTGAGTGCTGGGATTAAAGGCGTGTGCCACCACCGCCCGGCAAAAAGTCAACATTTTAACTCAAAGACGTGCTAAAGCTCTAACTGAATTAGCCGGGGAGGGAGGCACCGTACTTCACTGTCTGGAGGCTTGCTGGTATCTCCACAAGGCTGCTGTGCCTCCGGCAGTGCAGATGTTCCAGCTGCCGGGAAGGTGACACGGGCCTGTGTGTAGCTTCTTAAATAGAGCAACTGTGTCATCTCCTACTCTCTACGTGTTGTGCAACTATAGACAAAACTGTTTTCTGTACAAGGAAGTCCAAAGCAATTTACTGAGACTACCTCTGTAAGTCCAGAATGTAATCTGTCTTTACGATTAATCTGAAAGACATGCACATGTTACCTGAGGAAACTCGGTTTGTTCAGTTAGCTTTCTGAACACTAATCTTATCTACCCTAAAAATATTTCACAAAACATTTCTCCAGCAAAATGAGCTGAACATGTGCCCTGTGGGGAATCATTGTAACATACATGAAACTGTAGGTTCTGACCTCTAAGCAAATTTAGCAAAAAAATTAGACACCCAGATTCCTATAGGTTGGGCTTGCTCATTGTAAATAGGCTGCCATGCTTACCTGGGCTTATATTGATAGGGACTCTAGGCCCGGCATCCCTGAGCACATCAGCATTGTTCTGAAAGGCTTAAGCAGGTGTCTGAGCGCACTGTGAAACGTGTTTCAGAATGCATATTCCCTTTGCAAAACCAGTTCCAGGTGGACAGGACAGAACCAACAGGTCACCCATGTTCCCTGAGCCAGCAAAATTAAGTGCTTTGATGGCAGGTCACCTGCTGGTGTCACCGGCGTCACAGACAGCTCAAGCTGTGCTTTCCTGAAGTGGGAAATTCACCCAATTCATGGTTTTGCAGCTGATTGGTTATTCTGCTTGGAAATTTTTGTTTTAAAATTAAAAGAACTCATGAAGACTGGCAACCTCAAAACGGAAGGTTTTTTCCTCCTGCCTTTTTCACTAGGTCAGTTGACACGATGAAAAGCAAGACCCTGGGATGGACTAGCCCATGTTTAGGGTTTGGAATTGGGAGGGGCAGATGAGCACTCTAGACTTTCCAAAGACAGGCATTAGAGGAGAGAAGGTCCCATAAGAAGGCACTTTTGTCCCCGGAAATGGACTAAAGGAAGCAGGTACCATCAAGAGGGTGGCCGCGGGTCACAACCAAGGGGATAAGTCAAACTGGTGAGATTTCAGAGTTCATTCCGAGTCTGAAATCCACGTTTTTTTCTAATAACCCCCATCTTCTTTCACAACCCACTCTTCCACTTTGCTCTGCTCTAGACTGTCCCGAAGCCCTTTCCAATACCTAGCTGATGACATCAGTTCAAAAACAAAGCTGTAACTCCTTTCCCAGTGTTCCTCTGTCATGGAGGGGTGGGGTACTCCATCCATCCATCCAGCTCTGTCCTGGGTCACCTTCAGACCCAGGCAGCTGCTTCTAGCCACACCCACTCAGCCTGCAGTTCTGTGGGAAGGGGCTACAGAGGTGGTGTGGGGAGTGGAGGGGGTGAGGGGTGGAGGGGTGGGGACTGGAGGGGTGAGGAGGACTTCAAAGGATGTTTGTACTGTACTTCCAAGCAAGGACAGAGTCCAGATTTTTTTTAAGTTCCAGACAGTGGTCTTTTTGCATTGGGATGGACTAGGGGAGGTTGCTTAACAGTCTGAAGAAACGAACTCCGTTGGGAGTTTGCACTTAATCTGGGATAGAATCCAGGGGTCTAGGAGATTGGATGGGAAAGAAAATGTGTTTGTTTTCACTAAATTTCTCCTGAAATCTGTCGTTTTCTCTGACTTCAAATGTAGATGATAGCCGGGCGGTAGTTTCGCACGCCTTTAATCCCAGCACTCAGGAGGCAGAGGCAGGAGGATCTCTGTGAGTTTGAGGTCAACCTGGTCTACAGAGTGAGTTCCAGGACGGCAAAAGCTACACAGAGAAACCCTGTCAAAAAATAAAATAAAAGCCGGGCGTTGGTGGCGCACGCCTTTAATCCCAGCACTTGGGAGGCAGAGGCAGGCGGATCTCTGTGAGTTCGAGGCCAGCCAGGGCTACCAAGTGAGCTCCAGGAAAGGCGCAAAGCTACACAGAGAAACCCTGTCTTGAAAAAAATAAAAGAAAGAAAGAAAAAAAAAAGAAAAGAAAAGAAAACAAAAATGTAGATAATAAATCACTGTAATGTTTAAGGGTACCATGATTTTTTAGAGAGAGAAACATGTGCACAATCTTGAAATATTAATACTCATTGCTAGTATTAATGCTCAATGCTTAGTAGTTTGGGGAGCCATTATATTATTTAACCAGACACATAAACTATGTAATTTGTTGATAAATACATATCTTTATCAGAATTTTATTTTCAGTATTTTGATAGCTCCATTTCAATGTAATTGTTTTTCACTGTGAGCACATTACATTTAACTTTGTGCTTATTAAAATATAATGTTGATGTCTGGGAATTTTAACAATGTAAAAAGCTGGGCATGGTGGCACAGGCTTGTAAACCCAGTGCTGGGAAGGCAAAGGCCTGCAAGTCCACAGGCTTTAGCCAGATAACCTAGCCAAATTGGCCAGCCCTAGGTCCCAGTGGGAGACTCTGTCTCAAACAACAAAGTGGATGGCTCCTGAAGAATGGTATCTAAGGATATTCTGTCCTACACACATGCACATGCTCACATCAAGCACGCACAGAGAGAGAGAGAGAGAGAGAGAGAGAGAGAGAGAGAGAATGAGAGTTGTTTTCAGAAGGAATTCTCACATTCACCAGATTTCCAAGGGGGTCTGTGGCATTTGACAGTGAAGAAACCTTGCCTGGACTTGGTCTTCTGCAACCAGCCATGAAGGGCTCCTTTCCATGTACAGAAAGTTCAGTGTTCAAGGACCAGGGCGATCACATCTGTGTGAACTGACAGAGCTATCACAAGAGGATACGTGACCAACAGCAAATAAATGGTCTGCAGGAAAAGCATAAGGAAATAAAAAGCATGCCTTCCCAAGTTCGAGGTCAATTCAGTAAAGCATCTGAGTATCGTTGCCATTTTTATCTTCCTTTAAAAAGACAGAAAACTGGGGCGTTAAGAGCACTGACTGCTCTTCCAGAGGACTTGGGTTCAATTCCCAGCACCCACATGGTGGCTCACAACTGTGTGTAACTCCAGTTCCAGGGGATCTGGCATCCTCACACGTACATGCAGGCAAAACATCAATGCACATAAAATAAACAAAAATAAAACTTTAAAAGAAGACAGAAGACTGAACAACCTGTATTTGTGTAAATCCTTGTCCACAGAGAGAGAGTGCCAAGTCAGCCTGTAGCTAGAATGTCCCCACTCAGTAGTTTCCA